ATAGGCGACTGCCGTACGGACGGTCGTTCGTAGGACGGTAGTATAGTAGGAGGGTAAGTTACTACTTACTACTACAACGTACCTACGTCGCCCACCCCCCGCCCCTCCTCTCTCTCTCTCTCTCCCTTCCTACGCCCTCCTCTCTCTCTCTCTCTCTCTCTCTCCTTTCTTATCTCTAGAGGGTGGCACATGCCACACTAAGAAGCTAGGGGTGGCACATGACCCATAGGTGACAAAAGAGGGGTACACGTAGCCCTCAGAAGACTAGGTGCTGTTTGTGCCATTGTCCTATGGAGGTCCAAAAGGCGTTTAAGAAACATGAACTCTCGTTTATGCTCTCAAATCCTAGATTAGAAATGTAATGCCGAAGGAAGCTTCCCAACTGAAAGAATTTAGTAAGGCCAATAGGATCAGAGTGTCCCATCAATCAGGTATTCTAGGGAGGGGTGTAGGAAGTCCTAAGGGGGTGCCCCTGGGCAAAGTCAAGTCTTCCTTGTTCTAAGTTTGTTTTCAATCATTTTTGCTTATTTTATTTCAATTTTCAGGAACATTATACGTGTTAGAATTCATATTCAAGCTAATATTCAACTCTTGGGTTGTGTTAGTCTTTATTTGGCAGTAAAAAGAAAGATCCTAGGTTGTATTTAGAGTTTTCTTTCTTATTTACAACAATGTATTGTGACGCTTATAAGTGGAATTTGGATATGCTAATAATAGAAAAAGCAAAGATTTTTATTTTACTCTCTGGAGCTGTACATAGCCGCTTCTTTTATTGATATCAGAGCAGTCATATGTTGCTGCCACAGTCTAGGAATTTACTTCTGTTCTCGAGTCAAAAAAGAAGGCAGCTAAAAGCTTTATGGCTGAATTTATTTAATTTGTATACGTTTGACGGAAAGAATTATGCGAGCTGGAAAAGAAAAATTGGCCATGTCCTTCGAAGGACTCAACCAGATGCTTATTGAGAACGGACCCCCCATTGGGAGCCAAGAGGGAATGTTTAGGAAAAGCAATCTATAAGAGATGCTTATGCTCAGTGGGGGTGCAAAAATACCCTGGCTAAGAATGTCATTTTTATGGCCATCGATGATACTCATGCCCTGGAGTATGAGCCTTTGAAGACTGCAAAAGAAATCCATCAAAAGCTCGAGGATGATCATACCACTCCTTCCCTCACTAGAAGAACCATGGTAATGAAGTGGTACTCGGACCTAAAGATGAAAGGATGAAAGCTGACTGAGGACTTGAGGCTGCCGATATAAAGCTAGATGAAAAGATAAAAGCATGCAAGCATGCCACCTGTTAATACGATGCCAAGCTCATGGGAAGCCTTCATTTCAATCCTCACTGTACAAGAGAGCACACCAAAACTAGACAAGATCATCACCAAGCCTAAAGCCGAAGAAGAAAGAAGGATGACTTTGTGTTACTCCAACTGCAAATGATTCTGTGAACCTGGTAAATCTGAAACCCAACTCTAGTTCATTCAAGAAAAAAAGGGCTAGGGAAAGAAGAACAAGAATAATGGGATTCAAAAAGGGTATAACAGGCTTAAGAAAAAGAGGGATTTAAAGAATTCCTAGTGCTATAACTGCAAGAGATTAGAGCACATTGTGAAGTATTGTAAAGCAAGAATGTGAATCCCAAAGGCGACATGAAGCATGCTTGTGTGGTTGATGGGACCATGCTAGTTGACCCTCAGGATGGGTCGTGGTGTTTTGACTCAGGTTCCACTGCACATGTGTCTAACAGCAAGGATGGCTTTAAAAATTTCAAGCTTGTTACCCCAAGGGACCAGCATATCTACATGGGTGGAGATAAGAACTTTGGGTATTGGAGATTACATCCTTCAGTTGGAAAATGGAAAGAGCATGATCTTAAAGAAAACATGTTATGCTTCTAATATGAGAAAGAGTTTGGTTTGGGTCTCTAGATTGGTTAAGGCAAGAACTCGACCAGTTTTATTGGCAATAAGGTGGAAGTGAAATTAAGGAAAGAATTAGTCATGAGTGGTCTTCTTGTAGAGGGATTTTTTTTTAGTTGTCATAAGGAACTTTATTTCTTATGTCTTACAATGATGGTGATGATGATGCATTTACATGTCATATAAGATTAGGACATATAAATTTAAGAAAATGGAGAGATTAAAACGAGAATTACCATTGTAAAACCTGAATGGAGACTTAGCCAGAGTTTGTGAATCATATATTCAAGGAAAGGTGTTTAAGAAGTCCTTTTGCGAAAGCTCATTTCTAGCCTCTCTCTCTCTCTCTCTCTCTCTCTCTCTCT